CCTCTTCAGACACTCCCTTTCTTCTGCACTACTAGAAAACAAATAACAGGTTTACTCTCGCTTCTTGCCTCCCCCTCAACAGGATTACTTCCCCTCTTTTTTTTTGTTTGGTTATCCATATTTTTGTCCCCTTACCATCTCACTCCTCTCCAGACACTCTCTTCATTGTTTGAAACATCTAGCAAGACCATTTACTGCCTCTGCCTCGACCCAACGTTCTACTCTCTCTCTAAAGGTTCTCTTCACACAACTTCTCCCTTCACCTACAATTCTCCCAATTCTCTTAGTTGTCCCAAGTCCCCATCCTACAATATATATATGTTTTTGTTTTCTTTTTCAGTTTTACCTAAGCATACATACCATATTTCATCTGGAACCTTATTACCAGTTCCACTGTACACAAATGTCATCCATAGCAGTTCATAATTATAATATTTAACAGAAAATACACTGCGGACACATGCAATTATTTCCGTTCTCCATCATACACACACATACAAACAAACAACACATTAACACTACACTTAGTCAGTGCGCTACTCCTGCATATCATCACAGAATTCATTCCAGAATTTGACATTCCACGACCTTCAGAGTCGGCCATTCTCAAACACGCACACACCACTAGAGTTACAGATTAAAATATGTTTACTTACAGGATATTGATTTAGGTATACTGTTTCACCTCTATTCTTTTTTTTACTCAATTCCTCTATGGTTCATCCTAGTGTCTCTTCTCTTTTTTCTCTCCTCTCCTCTCTTTCTCTTCAGTTCCCCTATCTCTATTTTAGTTTGGTTATCACCCAAATCAGTGATCGACTATATATCTCTTACTTCCATTTCACTGTAAGACATTAATCACATCAGCTAATTTATCTATTTCTATTAGTGTATTTAGCTTCAACTTACTTATGAGTTTACCTATTGGTTCTACCGCTCTACATTTTTCAAATCTGATTTGTTCCTAAATCTCCAAATTAATTTAATGTTGAAAATCATGGCTGATCCACCTAGATTTATCCTTTACAGAACTTCTTTAATCTTCCACAAGATCGACGATACCTAACTCCTCCACCATTTCTCGTAATTTTCCCACTGTGTTACTGCCTTGGAAACATTCTACACCATCGCCTTATAAATATACATAATGCATATAAGAAACACGCAAGGAACCTAGATTTTACGATCTAGGAAATTTATTAACATTTACTTGTTGATTCGGGTTTCAAGAGTGAATTATTCTTACCTCCTCCCTCTCTTGGTATGACTCTGATGCGACGATGAAGTTCCCTCCTCGTTTGCCCCTCGTTTGGCCTTAATGACGATAGCTCCCTCTCTTCCTCCTCTAATACCCACAGCAACATCGCTTACAATTTACTCTCCTCCCACTGTAGCTCGGCTCCTCCTCTTTCTATCGCTAGAATAAATCAATACTGGTCATCCACTCAACTAAATAGAGGCCATCCATGTCTGCAACACTAATCCAGCACCCTGCGATCTGCCTCCTCAGTCTCACATGGCACCATCTGGGTCGTTCCTTGTTCCACTGGTACTTTCTGACATCGTTAGCACACATGGCTACAGCTGGCTCGTTAGTGTTTACCTTGCTGACTCACCCCAATTTGTGAAAATTCCATTTTTTTTCCTTCCGATCATCCTTTTCCATCTAAGTCCCTCTTTTTTTTATTTCCAAAATTTCCTATTATTTTGTGGATCAGGATTTGCTGAGATATTTAATTGTCATTGATTTTCTAATAATAAAACTTATTATTTATTTATTATTATATTTTCTTTTACATCTTATTTCCCTTGGAGGCACCAAAATGCTAACATTTTCAAAATGTTAAAATATCCCCCGAAAAAGAATTTGGTTCCTAAATTATTATATCCCTTCAAAAAGTTAGGGATGGTTCACCTTCATCACATCTTCGTGCTCCCAGGTTGCTTCCTCCCTGGAGTGATGTTGCTATAATACTTTTACAATTGGTATTGTTTGGCCCCTTAACATCCATAACTATTTTTCAAGTATGCATATGGGTTGCTCCTTGTAGGTTAGGTCTTTCTCTAAGGCAAGTGACTCATGTTCTATTATGTGTGAAGGATCTGGGTGATACTTGCATAACATTAACACATGAAACACATTAAAGATTCTTAATATTTTTAGTAGAAATGTTATCTGGTAAGCAATTGTAACAATTAGCACTTTAAAAGGCCCAATGAATCGAGGGTTTTGTTTTTCTTTCTTTCTAAATGTCTGGCGGCCTTGTATTGGTGATACCTTTAAAAATACATGGTTGCCTATGTCAAAAGTATAAAATTGCCTATGGTTGTATGTTTAACTTCTTTGACTATTTTATGTAGTTTGTAGATTTTTTTCTTAGAATCACTGATGCCCTTTAAATGATCTCTTTTACTAAATCGAGACTAAGTATCTTCATTTTTCCAACTTCATCCGAACATGTTAGTGGTCTACACAATCTACTATAGAGTGCCTTGTAGGGAGCCATTTTAATCTCAGAGATTTTAGAACCTATGGGGGTTAGATGATACTTCGTTATAGATCTCTTCAAATTTATTTTGTTTCCACCAGAGACTACTATTTCAGATTATGTTGAACCTCAAAATTCATTAGAGTCGAATATCTCCCAGTAATGATTTATGTGATTGTTATCATCATCCAACAATGTTTGAAAGCTTTATATCTTGGTTTGTTATCATCATGATGAGTTTCTTGACAATATTTATTACATCCTAATTTCATCACAAGAATAAATTTTAATTATCTGAATAACCTTAATGACAAAGGCATGTTTATAACTGCCTAAATATCATGTGTCTTGTTTAAATTAATAGTCCTTCCACTTCTGGAAATTAATACGTGATTATTTAGAATATACCTATTCTAAGGTCTTAAGATATGTCCCATAAGTTTATCAGATCATTAATTTCTCATTGTTGGTTAAGAGATGAATCTCTCGTGGGTGATGGGTTACTGTCCTCCACACTTCTGCTGCACTACTCTAATAATGTCTACTTTGGAGGTTTGTTTTAATATGTGAGCACACTGTATTATTTTTGTATTCCTGTTAGATATAAAGTAATTGCATTCTGGGTTTATCTTTATATTATTAAGGACTTATGGTTCGAACATGTCCCTAGGACAATCTCCTTCCTCAAAAATTTATTTTGGAAAGAACAAAAAGTGTCATGGAAAAGAGTTCTAGTTAGGTGGACTCTGTCTCATCCAATATAAAATTCTTTCTATCTATCAAGTAAAGGATGACTTAATGCCTAAGGGTTTCTAAACCAATAGTATAACTCCTATATGGCATCTCAATGAGAATTTAAACAAGTAGGATAGTTAGTTTCCAAAAGAAAAAGAAGGTCATTATGAATCTCAAAATCTATTCAAGTCTCGAATGGTTATTCAATCTCCTAAATGTTTAAATATTATTTCTGCTGGTCTTAGGAATTGTATTTCTTTTGGCTTTGTAGTGGATTTTGGAAGGTCCTAGTTAGACGTACTTTATTTCATTTACTAGAAGCAATTCATATTCATTAAGTACACGATTTATTCAATCTTCCAAAACTTTCTTATCCACAAAGTGTGTGATTATTCAGTGACTTAGAATTTTTAGTCATTATTGTAATCCCTATGTGAAACTTTGATAAAAGTTTAAACAAGTAGGTCGACCATTTTTCCTAAGGGGTATTCATGCGACTCCTCAAAAGCCATCAAAATTTTTTATTTATTTGGTCTTCCAACATGTTTGATATTATATTTATTTACTTTAACATTTGCCTTTCCTTCTTCCTTATCATCCCACTCATCATTGATTTTGAGTTCTTCAAACTCATCGTCCCCCTTGAAAAAATCAATTTTGTGACCCTTGAATGTAAGCTATGAGAATCTACAGTTAAATAACACCAACCTCCAGAGAAGATAAGTAAAATCTAAAATTCGCGGTAAGTGTAAACATGATACTTCATATAGCCAATATATTAAACGTGCTAGAGCTAGACCTTTAAACATCACACTCATTTTTAGACTTTTCTTTTTATGCCATACTTCATATACCCAATATATAAAAACCAAAATTTGTTACTTCTACATCTTTTATGATATTCATATGTCTAAATAAAGAAAAATTATTTATTTTTTGAATTTTTTGGGAAATTAATACGTGAATAATTTAGAAACTATTTTTCATAGTCTCTAGTCGATATAACCTTTAATTACCACCAAAACATATGCATCATCCCAATGACTTTGGAATTCTAAAAAACAAATATATTTTTTTGTGAATCACAAACTCTATGATTGAGTGTCCCTGGATGACTACATAATGGTTTTATTGGGATGTGTTCTACTTCCACCTCACTTGGGGGTCAGATATACTTTTACCTTCTCAGCAAGTGCCACTAGTTAGCCCTCGATTTACTACATACAATGCTATTGTTGGAAGGGATGGTCCGTCTCTAATGGGGTTAAAAGTACAAAAGTTCAAAAGGTATGACCAGTCATTCAAATATTTATTTCGTTTCTTCCTAGTCTCTAATGAACTTAGGCCAAGGATTCTTCCAGAGATTCACCTAGATTATTTGGGTATCTAAGACTTTTCCTCACAATTTCCTTTAGAATTTGGTTTGCCTCAATTCTCCTTTATGTCCAGAGGTCAAACTTATAACTCACAGTTGTACTTTGTATTCCTTTATCTGTATTGAGTTGATCCTTTTAGTAGTAGCTTAGAACACTATTAATATCTTTTAATATTCTTTGTGTTTAATTATGATTACTATTTATTCATCACCTCTAGTTGGCTTCGGAGTGAAGCCATAATCCCTTGATCTTAAATTTATCAAATTCTAACCTACGTAGATTCTACCTTTACGACTTTGAAATGTTATATGCTCCCATTTTCTTATCACTATCTCCTACATGTACATACTTTTTACTTCTCAATCTAACCTTCTTTAAAAATATTTCTAAAGGTTTATAGTTTCTAGACTTCATATAATCCAAACCTCATAGAATCCTAAGTCTCGTGTAATAAGGGATGCCCTAGGAACGTTGCTCTAATTCCAATTGTAACAACCCGCAATATTTAAGACATCAATATAACAAAAGATTCATTCATCTGTTACTATCAGCAAGTAACATCCCAACGTCAACAAGAGTTTTGGCATTTCAATAACAACCCATCTCAAGTAAAAGCACATTATGGGTCTACTATTTTGCTCATCTAACATCTTGTATTGTATACTCATATAATTCATGCCTCACAAAACTTAAGAATTGCTAGCTCTCTCTATTACAACAGCTAAACTTATCTAAAAATGCAGAACAACAGCAAAACAAAAGAAGATTCAACTAGTTCTCCACCACCAAAGCTATGTATTAATTAATTATGTATGTATTTTGGTTCATGGTCCGGCTCCGGAAGCTCTTGAATCGGTCTCTGTTTAATCGTTTCTGTAATATATTAAAAGAATGAGCTATACGTCCTAGTAAAATTAATTCAAACTAAAACCAACATAGTAGAAATAAATGCTAATAAACTCCCCATTTTCCTTAAACTTCTCTACAATCAGTCTTTTTTCATGCCCCTATTATTTTCCAATAGTGATTCCCAGCTTACTCTCAAAATTGCCCCTCATCAGGTTTTATTTTTTATCTAACATCAAACTCCTATGCAAGAGAGATCTATTTTGGGCTTCGAAGTTGTCTCCAAAATTGCTTCAGAGCCTGTCAAATTTGGGAACCAGCATCAGCAAACACTGGAAGTGGCATATGATATTGGGAGACAAAGGATAGGGTTTGCTCTAGGGGGTTTGTACCTAAACAAGGGAGACAGTTTTCAACCATGTGAAAACAAATGTATTTCTTATACTATAATTAATGTCAATGATAAGAAAATTAAATGAAAATTTAAAAAATCAATTATCTATTTTTTTCCTTCCATATTGCTCCTTTTCATGTGTCACTACTGTAATCTTCCTTCTTTACTTTTTAGCAATTTTTTTAATCTTTTTTTTTTCCTTCAAAATTTAATGGCTTTTAAGGAGAAATACAAATTGATAACTTTTCTTTTTTAAAATTTTAAATTTGTATCAAACATAATTATAAAAATTTATTCATATACTTACCTCCACGATTTGAAGGTGGTCACTAAATGAAAATATTATATATTCTTTCAAAATTCATAATCATTCAATTGATGCAGAATCAAGTGTAAACTATAATGTAATTAAAATGGTGATCAGTATGACAATTTGTAATTTATGAGATGATTAACTAGGAATTTTTGTTGGTTTTTGAATCTGTTCTTAATAATATAATATTAATATTGATATTAAAATTAATGCAAATTGTGAAATGGAGGAATAGAACCAACAAATCTAATTTGTGAATATTAGTCACCAATATTTTGTCTAGTAATTGATTATGTGCGTACGCAACTATGAACTTCCATAGCGTAACTATGGAAGGAGAACCATTTAATAAAGAGATCCTCAATTATTTTTTATTATATTTAACCCTTTTACAATTCTTATTTCTTTTTCCAATTTTCCCTTTCCCAAAATTAAAAATAGTTTCCTTCCCTTTAAATATTTTTACCAAAACAATTTAAATATTATTTTAGTTAAATAATAAATTCCTTAATGTAATTCTTTTAGTTGCTTTTAAATCAATAAAATCCAATCTAATTATTTTAAATTTTTATTAAAAATAAAAAGATAATGAACGTCTAAAGCAAATGAAAAATATTAGGGAATAAATTATTACTAAAAGAGTATTAAAGAATAAATTTTAATAAATGTAAAATATTAAATTAGTAATTTGCACTATTTATGACACATAATTTAGCAGTTTAATGTTTTAAAACGTGTTAAAAATATTATGTGAAAAAGTAGAGGTCCTATAATTACAATCTTCACATGTGAGTACTTAAAACAAAAACTAGTTATAAGTGGATTAATAATTATATAAATGAGTGACAATAGGATTCAAGGTAATTACGTATAATGAAATTATTTTTCAATCAAGTTAAAAATGTGATAGTTTGAAAATACTGCTGAGTTAATTTCTTATATTTTATATATTTAATTTAAGTTTATATGTGTTTGAAAATATATAATAAGGTTAAGAAAATAGTTTATGATCAAATGAAAACATGATGTATAAGGATGAAGGAGCTAAAATAAGCATGAAACAGTATAATAAAAAGTGGTAATTATTAGATTAAATGACATAACGAAAAATGGCAACCTTTATATGAAGTGACATCAAAGAAAATGACAACTTTTAAATAAAGTGGCATGTAAAAAGACCTTTTTAGATAAAACGACATGTGAAGAATGGTAACCTTGTAGGTGAAGTAATATGATGAAATGTGATAACTTTTATATAAAATAGTATGATGGAATAGTAGCAACATTTCTCTCGTGGCTTCCCATTCCTATAAATAAGGGATAGGAGAAGGTAGGAAGAAGCATTCCGAATAAGAGAAAAATAGTAAGAAGCATATAGGGGAAGGAAGAAGAGGGAGTACCGTGTGTGATATTTGAGAGTGTTTTGAAGTTTTAGATAAAAATCTTAGGGAAACCCTGCTAGATTTGTGAAAGTAGAGAAATAGGAAGAAAAGAGGAATAAGACTCATGATAAAAAAGAATTATAAACCATTATAAAGGTAAGTTTTTTCTTAAGTTTTGAAGTTCGATCTCTCTTGGTTTTTTGGGATTAGTTTTTGGGTATTGTGTTAGATATTTTTAAGTCAAGAAAGTGACTAGAAATTATCGGGAAACTCTGTCGAAGTTTTTAGAGGAAAAAATTATAAATAAAGCCAGAACTCCGCCAAAATTAAGACTACAGCTACTATGGACCTAAGGTAAGTGAATATTATAGATTCATAGCCTACGTAGTTTTGAAATATTTTACGTACTTTTAGTATAAAAATGTGCACGTATTTAATTTGTTTTTCGTATCTGTTAAGTAAGTATTTGTTAAAGTTTTACTTCGATATAAGTGTTATTTTTCTTTGTATTTTTTAAATATGATTTGATATGTGTGCATCACTCATTATGCAAAGAAGTTACTCCGAAAGCACCTGCATTATGCTAGCCTTTAATCTGGCTATACATAATCATTCTGTGTTCATGTGTATTGGCAAAGTAATAAGTGTGTACTCATATATAACCGTTCTGTATTTGAAAGTATGGGGAAACAGTCTGATCTGCGTACCCTAATCGATTCGTATTTGGGGAGATAGCAGTGTTTCAAGGTACTTATGTATATCGTTCCATGTTCAGGTACATGGAAAACCAATGATAAGTATCTGTGCCTACGCATAATATATGGTAACTGATTGATCCTCCATAATAGTGATTAAGTATACAACATATATCTGTTTTTTTATTTGTCTTCGTCTTCTGATTCGTATCTATTTTGGAAAGACTATATAATATATGTTTTATTGTGTGTAAAGAAACTATATATTGCATGTGCTATGCTGTGATTTCATAATATCACTTATTGAGATATTTTATCTCACCCTTTATTATTCTCCAGATACTGAAGATACCACTGCAGAATGAGCATTGATAAGGAAGAAATTTTTGAAGTTAGACTATTAGATTAAAGTTTCTATTTCGTACTTTTGTTCAGTAATATAAGTAAAGAAATTTGTAGCCTCATACATATGTTTATGTTTTACGTTTAAGAGATATAAAATTTCTACAACTCTGTTATGATTAATAAAGTTAAGTTATTTTACTTAACTCGAATTTATATGATTTAAGTAAATATGTTTCGATCATTACCCTATAAGACGGAGTGTGGTCTATGATAAGTGGTATCAGAGCACGGTTCTAGGATATCCCTTAATTCGAGTCTTAGATTACATAAGACTTAGATAGAGTTATGGAACATGGGAAATATCTCTAAATTAAATTTCATGAATGTAGAAAATGGCAAGGATA